CAGAATGATGTGAGTCCTGAGGCTTGGAACTCGTTGGCACGGTGGGAGGCAGAGAAGAAGTCGATGAAGGAATGAGAGAAGACGAAACACTAAAAAGTGATAAAAGGAAGCACCGATAAGAACCAAAGGAGTTGGGGCTGGAGACGCGGAAGAACTTCGTACTGAAGGAGCGGTAGAACTCGGTACCGGGGCTTCCAAAGAACTCAACACCGGAGTTTCAGAAGAAGTCGACACGGGAGCCTCGGAAGAACTCACACCCGGCCTCCGATTACTTCAAAAAGATCAAGACTAAAGGTCAAGACAAAGAAGAGAAATTCAATGCAACAGAATATGAAAAGCAACTCACCTGCTTGCATGATGAGGGGTACTTCATCATCTTCTTCATCCTCGACCAAGGAAACCAGAGCACTGCTTTGAAAAAGGATAAAAAGTAATCGGATCATGAGAGAGACAAGAAAATAAAAGAACAAAGAGCATTAAATGTGCTCACCTAAGAGCATGCTAGCAACAAGCTGGAGTACACGAGAGAGTACTTGGTTTGCGAGGCTTCTTGGAGACAAGGCGGGCGATGAAGACCCATCCGTTCGCCCCTTTTTTCGGACAACTGCGAGGACCGCGAGGACTAGACGAGGAACATATTCTTCATATACATCAACAAATCTGGAAGAAACCCCAGGAAGGGCGGTAGAGGTTTGGGACTTACTAATTGCAGAAGTTCCAGCAAGTCTATCTCCAGTCTCCGCCACGGCGGGGAAAGCGTCAGGAGAGACCGGGTCGACAAAGTTCCGCCCAAACTCCTGCGAAAAAGGATAAAACACCGAGATAAAGAAAAGCTAAGCAAGAACAAATGCAGCTAGAGTGCATAAAGTACTCAAACAAAAAGATATACAACTCACAGCTGGGGGCGGGTTGTTGGCTGAGAACTCGGTGACAGCAGGAGGAATGACGCTCACCCCTTTTAGCATCTTCTGAAGACGCTCGAGTACCTGCTCACCGGTCAGCTCAAGAGCTGGGACCATGCATGAAGGATCCTCGGCCCCAGAATACTCAAAGCCAAGATGCTCCCGCTCTTTCAAAGGCTGAACCCGGAGACGAAGAAAGCTCGAAACAATACCAAAGCCGGTCAAACCCTGCTGCTTCAGCATGCTAATCCTATCAAGGAGTGGCTGGATCACGTGAATCTCAGTAGGCGATTCAAGTTTCTTGTCCCATCGGTCATTCACCACAGGACCAGATCCGGGATGAATGGCAAGGGAAGGGATTAAATTGGCAGCGTAAAACCACTCGGCACGCCAATCTTTTACAGAATCGACCAGGTCATAGTCAAAAAACTTAATTTTGAGACCCTGACGAAACTGAATCCCGCAACCTCTAAGAACGCTGGTTTCTTCACGGCGGGGTTGAGGTTTCAGACGAAAGAAAAAGCGAAAAAGAGACAGAGAAGGAGGGATTCCAAGGAAAGCTTCGCAAAGATGAACGAAAATAGAAAGATGGAGAATGGCATTGGGGGTTAGGTGGTTCAGACTAATCCCGAAATAACCAAGAAACCCGATGAAGGAAAGCGCGAAGCGGAAGGCAAAAATCCGTAGCGGACAAAAAAACGAAAGGACAATCTCACCAGACCGGAGCTGGAACCCGATGCTCGCCCGGAACTCTCCATTCGATGATGACTTTGCTTTGGATCAAGCCATCGCTAACGAGCTCAAGTAGTGGTCTTCGTTGTTGTTAGAGCCACCAAACCTTCTCGAAAGCAGCCCTCATAGCCACGAACTCCTGGTTTTCGATCAAAGAAAGGATGACTCCTCATCTACGAAGGTCGCTTTGAGACTTGCTTGCGTTTTCTTCTTTCCCATGAACTGGCGGAAGCAAAAGAGGCGCTAAAGAAGATGTAGGATGATGGTGCTCGGGTTACGGCGGCGGTGATGGCGGCGGATTTAAAAGCTAGGGTTTAAAGGCAAGAGTTGGGCAGCAAAGGGTCTTTAAATAGGTTTCTCAGCGATACAAACGGCCCATAAGGCCCGATAAAACACAATGTGGGAACGCGACGGTCCATTTACCGACGCAGCTAAAACGATGGAGGGCACAAATCCACACAACAAGACAAACCAACCAGGCAGATTTCAGACTTATCCGTCCAAAGACCACGGCGGGGTTATCGAGATCGCTACAAGAACAACTCACAAAACAAGAAGAAAGAAAGAAGAAAGAAAAGGCTACCTCACAAGGAACAAAAGAACCCGGTTATTTGAGAAAGAATCCGGTAATCTCATGGACAACGGGGATCGCAATAGAAAAGTAAAAGACAACTCAGAAGACAAGATTCGTTACATTACAAGCAGAAGATTACAAATCTTAAAGACAAGAGTCGTTACATTACAAGCGACTTCAAAAATAGAAGATTACAAATCTTACAAGACCCAACGAACTTCGGCACCACGAAAAGCAAGGTAGCAAAGAGGAACGTGGACACTGCTTAGGCTCTGGAACGACTACGTGTCCCAAATTGCTACTCGGAAGGACAAACCGCCATCGGCTACACTTTTTTTTTTTCAAGGAAGGACGCAGATGCACTCAAAGGCGGAAATCGGCAAAGACGCGGGGACAACATGGAGCGAGAGAAGGCGGCGGGGCATCTGTCTACCCAAGACCGATGTGATATCAATATATGTGTTGATCTGCCTGCGGGACAGTCTCAAGACAGGCGACGAGGATCAACCTGAATGGCGGATGAAGAAACAAGCCCACATCACAAGACTTCCTCCAACTACCACCACATACATCCCAGCACAATCTTTGTCGCGGGGATTAGCCTACCTCTAATCCCTATCACAAGACTTCCTCCAGCTACGACAAGACACACAGAACTACAAAATATGCCCGGGGCTGCTCTACTTCACAAACTACCATGCTCATGTCCACGAAGGTTTCAACGGAATATCCAATAGATGAAAACAAGCACTCCGGGACAAGATTTATAGACCAAAGGAGCGGCGCACATGGACCAGGAGTACCAACAAAATAAGCCCGACAAAGGACACAAAGTGAAAGGACATGACTCAATAATGGACGACTCAAAGAGAGGAAAATAAGATTACTCGAAGACGCATATTCGGAAGAATATACCATCACAAAGACAAACCCGTGAACAAAAGGCATTTACACTCAACCACCACCATACAACTACATCTCGATGTTGAGCAGACTATCAAAGAATACGCCAAGACCTCGCATCCGGAGTTCTTCTGAACAAAACAACACGGATATACGCTTTCGGGGCTCGGGCCACAGATCATAATAGCTTAATCAACACTAAGCTAGGGAATTCACCCTCATTTCAACTACTCCCGGGGGCTCGTAACCAAAGACAAAAGACAAAAAGTACAAGAAATTCAAGACTACAACGCATTTACGACGCATCAAGATCTTCAACCGACTTCTTTTTCAAAAGAAAAGAACTCGGAGAAAGCACGAGGTCAAGGGGATACATAGCCCTGAATTTTTCGAAGACAGAACTGGACCCTCCAACTTTTGCAAGCAAAAGCAAGAGGCTCGGGGGCTACACTCGGTGAGTGCAATTTTATGAAAAATTGCACCCCAACAAAGAACCCGGACATAGGCTCGGAGGTCGCACGCCGCTAAAACTACTCGGATGATGGTTTAATCCAAGACTAAAGGACCGCTTGGAAAGATACCACAAAACTACTCGGATGATGGTTTAATCCAAGACTAAAGGACCGCTTGGAAAGATACCACAAAACTACTCGGATGATGACAAAATTCAAGTCTCGGGGACTACTTGAGAGCTGATTTTCAAACAAACATAAAGGATCAAGACCCTCCAACTTTTTGTTCCAAATAGCAAGAGGCTCGGGGCTACACTCGGTGAGTGCACTTTTTCTCCGAAAAAGCGCCGTCACCAAAAAACTTCCTCAACGCAGACCACTTCAAGACATTCGACAAAAGAACCGGAGCGAGCCATATTCGAGTTCTTTTTGACAAAACTTCAACAACAATCGAGCAACTTCAAGAAAAGATGCTCCAGCTCCTTGTTCCAAATAGCAAGAGGCTCGGGGGCTACAACCGGATGGATGTACTTTTTCTTCACAAAACACTCACCACTCGAAGGTCCCAAGAAGCGCTACAAGGTCACTCCGAAGCACTTTCGGATAACATTTTGTTCCTACCTAACAAGACCTGAAGGAGCAAAGCGAGACTTTCGAGCTCAACCATGAAGTGCTCGGGGGCTTGTCGATGTGGGACCCACTGAGATACCCCAAGAAGAGAGATAAAAGATCTAGTTCAACTAGGATTCTTCCCATGTAATCTTAAATAGAAGAACTATTAAGTAATCCTACTAGGAAATCTCATTGTAAACCGACTAGGACTCGGCCTCCCCGATAATATAAAGGAGGGCGGGGCGCCGAAAGAGAGAACAACAATTGTACAACATAACACTTCATAATCAATCCAACGTAAAAGGCAAACGCCGATTGGGCGTAAGAGTCGTTACTCGATCTACGATCGAGGGCTCGAATCAGATAAATCGATTGTCTCTTGCGCTTACCATCGAGTTCAAGATATCTGCCGAAGTTCGAACGACATCGCCACGGTACTTCACATGGCGCTATCGATGGTAAAACATCGACAAATACCAAACGCCAACACGGATCGCTTGCATGCATGAAGGAATGAAGTGGTGAAAGGAACGCCATGATAGAGAGCTAGCATGCACCATGCGGTCCACACTCAATGCACCAAACATTCGGTAGGGGGATAGCATATATATTGCAAGACTAGATGTACCCTTTTGTCCATGCATGGGCATCATGATTTAAGAGAGTATAGGAAAGCTGTTTTATTATAATAAAGAGTTGAGCGGGGGTAGCCAGTGGGGGGGTCTGGCCCCGGAGTCGCGGCCAAACCCTAGCCGCCGTCCTCCCCCTCCCCCTCCCCCTCCCCCTCCACCCCCGGGCCTCTCCATCGGTGCGCCACGCCTGACCATGGCAAGAGGAAGATGGTTCCATGGCCAATGTGGTGCTAGGAAGGCAGCAGGCGGTGGCAGTAAGAGTGTGAGTGGGAGGGGAATGGTGGCAATGTGGCAGTTTGGAGCAGCGCATGAATGTGGGACATGGGAGGAGAGCACCAAGCACATGCAATGAGAGTCAACACTAGGGGGAAAAGTGGAGGCAAAGGGCGGCGACGTGGAACACTAGAGCAGCAAGCGCTTTCTTTTCCTTTTTTCCGTGGGTGGCGTTTCTCCAAGACGGAATAATGCAAGAAGTGCAGAGGTGGCAGCGTGAGTATTTGTTTTGCTTTTTTGCATCTGCTACTAAACAGTAAGGTCAAGTGGTTCATTTAGACATGTAATGCATGGGGACCTATAAATTAAGAAACACTATACCACAACCAATCTGAGACAATGGTAGCTAAAACGTAATATTAACATCCAACCATTGGTCGCTATAAATTTGTAACAAATCATCGGTCGCTATTTTTACATGTATCGACGGAACATCGGTCGCTACATATATTTAGCCATTTACGTCAAACAATCGGTCGCTAAAAACAAATGCTAGAGTCAAGCGATTGGTGGCTATAGCCCATTTTCATTTTTTGGCGCGCTCAGTCCAGCCCACTCGCGCGCACTAAAATTAGCGCGGCCCACTAGTCAGTGCCACCCAAAACCCTATCTCCAGCACTATTACCCATCCAGCAGCCGCATCTCACCCAGCAGCCGCCAGCCGCACACATCGTCTCGCACAGCAGCGTGCATCTCGTCCGGGCTGCCGCCGCCGCTGCCGTCCCCGCCGGCACCCGCGAGCTCCGTCCGTGCCGCCCGCATCTCACCTCTTCACCAGTGCTGCCCGCGAGCTCGCCGTCCCCGCCGTCGCAGCCGCAGTCAAGCCGTCGCGACCGTCATCCAGGCCGCCGTCCCCGCTGCGCGCTCGCCGGTATCGCCGTACTCACCTGAGCCGCCGCAGCCGTCGTCCCCACCCGGCCCGTCGTCGCAGCCGCCGTCCCCTCTGAGCGTCCCCGAGCAGGTACTGGTTCCCTTCCATCCCGTCCGCTGCTCCCTTCCCCTCCTATCCCCTCTCGGCATTGGTCCCTTTCCTAGGCTTCCTTGGATGCATGCACAGCAGGTTAGCATGGATGCGTTACTTGTTTTTTTAGACTAGATGGAACCCTGTGTGAACAATGTCGCCTGCATTTGATTGCACATATATACTGTGTAAAAAAATAGCATGGTCAGTGATTTTTGTGTGGCTTGAATGGAAGTATGCAATTTATACCCATGCATGGTCGACTTATTATTTCGAATGCATCAAGGCTAGTATCTTGCTAATTAGAACGTGTTTAATTTTCACCTATTTGCTTGATGAAGAAAGCATGATGCTTGTCCTTACAGAAATAAACAATTTTGGATTTTGTTTCTTATCAATTAATCATACCAGGTAAACCAAAAAGAATAAAAATTGTAATACTGTTATACACAAGCTTGTTTAAAGGAAACTGAGGCCAAGCAACCAAACATTAATCTGTTCCTCTCACCCACACATCAATATGAGCTACCATTCCAAGAGATGATGACTGTGCACCCTGAAACAATAAGTATTAGCGAAGAATGATTCTACCTGCTCAAATTCAGACTCGGGTCCCATGTTTTATGCAGATGAAAGCTTCTAGTTGCAAATGCTTATAGGTGTGTGGATAGAACTGTTAGCATAAACCCATTCACTGCAGCGTAGCCACCAGCCATTTATGCAATTCTTAGTTGGAAGAGATACAGACTTGTTTGAAGTAATAAACTGAGCTCAGGCAAGCAGGAACTAAATGATTCATCTAGCCTCTAATTAATAAAGAGTGACTTATAAATTGAAGTTGGGAGACTCAGAGAGACTGTAGTCTAGAGACTTATATACTATGTCGTGTACCAATTTTCTCTGAACTTGTTGGTATATACCAGCTAAGTCTGACCAACGCATAGCTGAACTGGAAGAGCAAATGAAAAGGCAGGAGGAAAGGCATGTAGAGGAAAGACAAAATTTTATGGAAGTCATGTCACATAATGGTTCTAATTCACGCCACCATGTGGTATAATACTATAACAATACATCAGCTAGTTATTTTGGACTCTTAATACCCTGTGCAGATTTATCTCATTATTGCTTCCATTTGTTTGTAGAGCCCAAGGTCTACAGAAAATGTTGACGCACATCATCATGATGCTCATTTCGAAGAAGATGAAGATTGTGGAGATAATGAAGACCATGACGCATGTCCCGAGGAGGGTGAATATTTGTTTGCACGGAGGCGTCTTACAGCCCATACTATGCAGTTTCATCAACATAGCCCCACTAGTGCAGCCCATACAGTGCAGACCCATGCAACCTCACCCCATCAGTGCACCCCCAACGATACAGCCCCTGTTGCGCAGCACCATGCACCCTTGTCCAGTCACCACTTCCCCAACAATGCAACCCCTACAGTCCAGCACAGTGCAACACATGAAGAGCAGCCCCATGCAACCTCATCCCGTCAGTGTATCACCAGCAATGTTCTTCCTGCAGTCCAGCCCTTTTGCAACCCATGAAGTGCAACCCGATGCAGCAAAACAAGCAAAGACAGTGCAACCCTAGGTTGGAATGGATGTGATATTATATGAAGTGGTGAGATCCGATGCACATGTGGCTCTAGGAACAATTATTTCAACAAATCCTAAAACCATTATTGGAGGTGTAGCACTTGGGAAGCAATATTGTGAAGTTGTTGTGAATCATGTGCTGAAAAGGGACGCAACTCTGCCTCGCACTTATCCTGGTGTGAAAAAGATGGCTGATGCTCATAGGTTGTCGATTGCATGTCCATACAACAGAGTAATAAACTATCCTTGTCATCGTTTCTTGTTTTCTCATATATGATAAATGGTCAAACTTATAATTTCTGATATTTGTGACAACTGAAGGTTAAGCAGCAGGCATCAAAATCGGTTAGTAAGGCATCAAAATCGCTTCAAGGTGTTTCAGGTATATTATTCTTAGGTCACTTATCTTCTCTTGTGACAGTTGAAAGGTTAGCAAATTTCATGATGCTGATTAGAGCCTATACTCTGTTGTTTTTACACTAACTTGTAGCAGGGGGAGAGAGGAGCTAGAACTCAGGTGGGCAGTCGATATGTGATTTCTACCTTTTTCTGTTGAGGTTGGTCAGTGTTCTGTTTTTATCTTTTTCAAGCTTGCATGCAACTGTTCATTGGTGACTAGTAGGGAAATTGCATGAAACTGACCACCTGTGTATACCACAAACACTTGAATCACCAGCACTGAAGGAGTATGACTGGCACAAGATATATAAGTTGAATACACTGTCTTAAGTGCATATACTGCCTCAGTACAACCCATAACTCTCAAACAAGCAACACAATCACATGCCAGATTTAGAATAAAGTTGGGCATAACTCCAAGAAATTGTGCCATGAGTGATTACTTACTTTCTCTAGTGGGATATTAGCAAAATTCAGAAGCAATGGTCAAACCCAATTCAGAGATTCTTTGATGCTTGCAACCAAAATTAACTCCACATTTTCCTTATAAGAAGACAGCAGCCACTCAAGCATAAACAACTGATATGCACTCATATTAGTCCAGAGTAGCCATAGATTAAGCTGTGCTATTAACCATCCACTTTGAATGATTTCAGAGGCCATCTGACTTGCAAGTACCATAAAGCCAATAGCATATTTCAGCAACTAGCAATGCCCATGAGTTAAGTTGCCCGTCTTCAAATCAATCTGTGCATAGGTCCCTTCTAGCTGAAAAGTGTAACTGCTAACCAAGTGCTTGCATAATCTGAGAGCAGCAAGAGCATTAGGCATGTACAGTCTAGAAATAACTCTGTAATTTTCTGCAGCTAGTATCTCAGTGAAAAGCCAAATCTGAGAAAAAATTGATAGAAATAGATCAACAACTTCTTTTCTGTTGCCCTCGTCAGTATGTGCAGCACTTTGAAGAAACTGAAACACTATAGCTTGTGAGGTGAATGAGATGGATTAAAACCCAGATTGAGATTGTGCCAGGGTGAGGACTCAAGCAGAAACCCATCAGTCAAAAGTGTCTTCTCAGACCATGATCTAGCCAAATAATAAACTGAAACCATGGAGGCTTTGACATATTACTACCTTGCTGAGGCCTGACATTGCTAGTACTGGGTGGATTGCTAGAGGCCATGAACATATCTAGCAGGTGACTGTGCAACATGTCTGTAGCTTTGACATCTTTGTTTGGTTGGCTACAGTGTAATGAAAAACACTTTGTTCGGTTGGCTGGGGGTATCATTTTCCATTCCCTACAGTATTCGGTTAGGGACAAAGTGCTTAGTTTTTTTTATCTGTGCATGCAAGCTAGTCATCTTGAATATGAATATAAACTGTGAGGTCATCTTTATTTGTATTTTTTTACCTATGTAGGTCTCATCATTAACTTCATGTGTGTACTGTGTTGTTGTGTTCAGGTGGAGGGAGGCCTTGGAGGTGTACATGATGCTGGATAATGTCACCAGGAAGCCAACATATGACATTTTGCTTTTGATAAGATGGAGATGAGGTATTTTGTAGTGAATCTAGTTAGATTGTGCAAGCAAACATATGACTTGTGCCTGCCATTTGACCTAGCTAGGTTGTATGTGTGCTTTTCCTTTTGTAATGATGACCTGTCATGGATCAAGATGATAGAACTTGATGTATTGCTAAATGTTGGCTTCAATGAAGACTTGAGAGATACCTTTATCTAATATAATGTGGTTATTGTTGTGGGCAGCTATGGATTACATATGTATGTGGTTGATGAATAATGTGATATGTTATGGATGTTTATTAGGTTTGAAATCTGGATAATACAAAATTAATATTATATATAATTGCGCCAGTTCAGAGCTACTGATTATTGGTTGCTAAAAAGTTTGATATCCTCGAACCATTGGTCGCTAAAACTCGTGACAGATCATCGGTCGGTATAAATATTTGCGTCAAACTATCGGTCGATATAAATCCTGTCGGTCGCTAGACTTATAGCGACGCCACTTACAGCGACTTATACGTCAGTCGCTATAAAGTTATAGCGACCGATTTAGAGTCGCTACAGATTGGCTGTGGTATAGTGAAACGGATTGCGAATAGGTGAACGGATATATGAGCATATGGATTTGGTTGACAAATCTGATTAAACGGATTATACTAGGTGATGATGTGAATCGTTGTGGAATCAGATAGACTCTCTAGTGGGGTTTTATTTTATAAGAGATAAAGATTGTTTTGGCCATGTATTGTTTGTGAAGCTAGAAGTTGGCACTGCTAGAACTTAGAAATAAAAGCTAGAAGGCCAGGCGCAAAGGTATATATTACTTCTATCTCACAGGCATACAACTATGACTATGCTAACAACCAATACAACATAACTAGGTATGTTGCAATAAAGTAAAACACTAAGGCAAAGTATATAAGATAACTCAAAGTCTTACGAAGAAGGAAAGGGTACAAGAGCTTTACCATACCTCCATGAAGACTAGATCGAGAAACCCGAGACTAAGCTCAACTCACTCTAACTCCCAACTATACTATTACTACTACTACTACATCTTGAGAGAGTGGAGAGGTTTGCACCTTATGTTGTGTGTTATATGTGAGAGGAGCACCTCCTATGTATGGCCTAGAGAGAGTGAGGAGGTAAGCCCTTCAATCCAAGTGATGGATCCTGCACACCTTTGGATCAGGCCAATGTAAATCCCACGGCTAGAGATGTCTACAACCATGTTTCCTTGCATGTCCAAAAGATTGAGGTTGTATGGTGCATGCAACTTGATCGTCAACCGACCATATGGTACATCAGCCAATGCCCCCACTAACGCCTAGGACCACCATCGTTCATGTGGTGGGTCTTAGCATGATTGTAGATGTGGGTTAGGCCAAGAATTGGTGTGTTGATCTCGTTCGATTGCCTTGTGGGCCCATGGATCCATGTGACACTTCATTCGACCCATTGATCCTCCACTGACTTAATCCTGATGGTGGGATGTGATTCCTATTGTGTGTTCTTCAACGTGGACCAAAGTTGGGGCCACTGGGCCTAGTTGACCGTCAGGTGACCCCCTACTGGGCCCATTTTGCCCATCTTTTGAAAGTAGGCCCCTGAAGGTGCGAGTCTTCCAAAAAGTATGGATTTTCTATTTTAGGATGTTTTAAGTATACATGATGTGCATTTTTCATCTCAAATGTGAACTCTATTGACAATAGAATTGAGAATTTAATTATCATCAACAGCTTCCTACACCAAATAAACTTCATGTACATGTGGAACTTGTCATTAGAACAAAATATGTCCATACTATGCTCATTTCCTTATGTTTGCATGGCAAAGTTGACGGTTTTGACTATACAAAATCATACTAAAATGACCATCAATACTCATTAACCAAATGCTTTCAAAATATGAGCCGTTATATCTAATCCCATGGAACATAACACAACCTTATTGATCGGATGTGTGATTCTATCGGGTTCATAGACCCGGGGTCCCTCGGGGACCGGCTTCCACGCTAAGGCTCGGCCCAAGCAGGCAGCACACAACTCGTGGGCCGGCCCAAGAGTCTAAAACAACAGGCCGAAGGGGCGGTCCAGTCACTGACCGGAAGGTCTGTTCGAAGAGGAACGACGCCCGCTTGTCAACTACTTTAGCCCACCTCTCCGACCGGAGCGCTGGCTTCGGACTCCAGCCGCCTCCGGATGGCCTCTCCGGTCGGAAGGCCTAGCCCAAACACTACTTCCGACCCCGACCCCACATCGCCGACCAGGGAACGCAGAAACCCTGCTCACCGCTCTTCTCCGACTGGCGCGATCAGAGCCATCTAGGGCCATCCGACCGGGGACGCCCGCTCGGAAGGAGCTAGGGACGAATGGAGAAAGCAAGCCAGAGCGCGTAAGTCAAACCATGATGCCAGGGACCATACCCTGCACACCTACAGGAACAGTACTCTGCAGCTGCCCTGTCACAAACAGTATTGTAGGCGCTGACATTTTCCTCTACAGTATTGTAGGCGCCGTCAAACTCCCGTACGGTAAGGCCCCCCACGTGCCTCCGGGCACCGATTGTGTTGTGGGCGCCGGGATTTGCCATATGGGGTGAACATGGTTACACTCCTCACATACCTCTAGGCATCGAACAGTATCTACAGGTACCGACGTCTACCATTCCTGAAGAAGGCAAACGCGACCTCCCACATGCATCTGACATTCTACAAT